TGGGATTACAGGCATGAGCCACCGTGCGCCTGGCCTTTTCTTCATTTTAGAGACAGGGTCTCGCTCTGTCACTCAAGCTGGGGTGTAGTTGGCATGATCATGTAGTTGGCTCACTGTAACCTTGCATTCCTGGGCTCAACTGATCCTCCTGACTCAGTCTCCCAAGTAGTTGAGACTATAGGCATGAGCTAAGTTTCTCCATTTTACCATCATCTACTAAAGGCAAAAAATTGAGATCATCCATGATTTCATCATCCATGATTTCTCCTTTCCCCACACATTCCCCTGCCCAACCCAGCATCCATCCCATCCATTAATAAAATGTGTTAGTTCTCCATCCAAAATATCCTGAATCCATCCAATTTTCTCCATTTGTACTGCTGCCATCTGATTCAAAGTTCTTATCTGCACTAGAAAGCCTGTTGTAGTAGCCTCCAAACTGGTTCCTGGATTTCCATGCTTGACCTCCTTTCAATCATTTCACCAAACAGCAGTCAGAGCATTATTTTAAATTATTTCCACTTCAGGCCTTTCCCTCTGTCTAGAGAGTTCTTGACATGTTTGGTTCCTTCTCCTTCATTCTGTTCTGCGTTAATGTCACTTCCTCCACAGCAACATTCTCTGACCACCCTAGCTCAAGTGCCAACCACTTCCTCCTCTACTCTCTACCATACCACTGCCTTCAAAGCACTTCTATTTGAAATTTGTTTTGCATTATTTATACTTCAACAAATACCTGCTCTGCTCACATACTGTATGCCATTTTAAGTGCTAGCAATACAGTGAACAAAAATTCCTGAGCTCATGGAGCTTACATTCTGCTGGAGGAAACCACCAACAAACAAAATAAAGAAAATATAGTGCCAAGGTGAACAAAAAACAAAGCAAGGAAGATAAATATAAAATGTTGGGGCGAGGACTGAACTGTATTCTTAAAAATGGTTAAGATGACTAATTTTATGTTAAGTGTATTTTTCCACAACTAAAAAAAAAAAATTTTTTTTTTTTTTTGAGACAGACTCTCGCTTTGTTGCCCAGACTGCAGTGCAGTGGTGTGATCTCGGTTCACTGCAACCTCCACCTCCTGGGTTCAAGCAATTCTGCCTCAGCCTCCTGAGTGGCTGGAATTACAGGTGCATGCCTATAGTTGACCATTGACTACTCCCTTGTCAATAGTGCTCACGGCAAGTTACAGAGAAGACAAAACACCCAGCTAATTTTTATATTTTTTGTAGAGATGGGGTTTTGCCACGTTGGCCAGGCTGGTCTTGAACTCCTGACCTCGGGTGATCCACCTGCCTCAGCCTCCCAAAGTGCTGGGATTACAGGCTTGAGCCACTACACCTGGTCCACAATTTAAAAATTTTTTAATAAAAATGTTTTAAAAGTTGGAGCAAGGGTGGGGAGGCAAAAAATAAATACATTTTAGAATAAAATAAATAAAAGTTGGGGCAAGAAAATGCTAAATTTCACATAGGACAGAAGGCTTCAATGAAAGTGATATGTAAGAAGACATGAAGTAAAAGAACTCACCATGTTGATATCTGGGGAAAAAAATTCCAGGCAAAGAGAAGAGTAATGCAAAGGCCCTGAGGCAGGATCATGCCTGGCATATTTGAGAAGCAGCAAGTATGTTTGGCTTTGTGAGTTGGGGAGCCATTAATCCATAGCACCTAAATCAGTGTCTGGTATAAAAAAGGAACTCAAATATACGACTATCGTATAGCAGCAAGATTGGTATAGGTACATCCCTTTAAAAGGTAAATTATGTTGTTATTTCACACTTCATAGGACAGTGTAGTTGATTTATAAGATCCACAGAAAAGGCCAGGTGCAGTGGCTCACATCTATAACCCTAGCACTTTGGGAAGCCAAGGTGGAATTACTGTTTGAGCTCAGGAGTTTGAGAGCAGCCTGAGCAACACAGCCAGACCTCATCTATACTAAAAGTTAAAAAAATAAATAAATCAGCCAGGTGTCGTCGCACATGCCTATAGTCCCAGCTATTCAGGAGGCTGGGGCAGGATGATTGCCTGAGCCTGACAGATTGAGGCTGCAGTGAGTTCTGATTGTACCACTACACTCCAGTCTGTCCAACAGAGCCAGAACCTGTAAAAAAAAAAAAAAAAAATCCACAGAAAAACAACAGTATAACTTAATCTTAAAAGGGAAAGAAGTTTTCAGTTATTTCTAAATACTTTTCCTGATGATTTCCTGCTATTGGTTGAAAAAATTTAATTACTTAGCTAAAAAACTTACTAGATTATCCACTGGCATCTTGAGTCCCCTTTTCTACTTAACTCTTAACTGAGCCTCCTTTAAATCATGATTTCTCTATAATTCATCATCCCCAATTAATCTCCTTTTTCATATGCCACCTCTTAGTATTTTGTTTTTACTATTCTTACCTTACCTATTACTCCCTTGTCAATAGTGCTCACAGCAAGTTACAGAGAAGACAAAATAGCTATGTAAAAGATGCCAACCTTAAGGATATATTAGTAAAATGTACATATGAACTCTTAATTAGTGCTGTCTCTAGTCTTTTTTTTTTTTTTTTTTTGAGACGGAGTCTCGCTCTGCTGCCCAGGCTGGAGTGCAGTGGCCGGATCTCAGCTCACTGCAAGCTCCGCCTCCCGGGTTTATGCCATTCTCCTGCCTCAGCCTCCCGAGTAGCTGGGACTACAGGCGCCCGCCACGTCGCCCGGCTAGTTTTTTGGTTTTTTTAGTAGAGACGGGGTTTCACCGTGTTAGCCAGGATGGTCTCGATCTCCCGACCTCGTGATCCGCCCGTCTCGGCCTCCCAAAGCGCTGGGATTACAGGCTTGAGCCACCGCGCCCGGCCCGCTGTCTCTAGTCTTTGGAGGAGTTGAGGAATTGGGGAGTCTCTAGTCTCAAGTTCCACAAACTCCACCCTCCCCAAAAGCCCCAACCTATGGTACTTATAATCTAAGTGATCATGGGAACAAAGGACCTAAGGAGTGGATCTAATAACTGTAACCATTCTTAGTTTTTAGATAAAAATAACTAAAGTACTGTTCTCTTGTTCTTACAAGCACATTTCAAATTAACCCAATTCTATGCTTAATTATTTAAATGTATTAGAACAAGAGTTCCATACTTTTTTTAAAAAAAACAGTACATTCAGAATGTTGTACTTAAGGGAGGAAAACTTCAGGCACAATCGCCAATTACGAATGGCCAATATAGGTGAGGCTCAGTAGCTCAGCCTGTAATCCCAGCACTTTGGGAGGCCAAGGCAGGTGGATTACTTGAGTTCCTGAGTTTGAGAGCTGCTGGGGCAACACAGTGAAAACCCATCTCTACAAAAAATACAAAAATTAGTTGGACATGGTGGAATGCACCCATAGTCCCAGCTACTCAGGAGGCTGAAGTAGGAGGATGGCTTGAGCCTAGGAGGTAGAAGTTGTAGTGAGCTGAGATGGAGCCATGGCACTCTAGCCTGGGCAACAGAGCCAGACCTCATCTACACCAAAAGTTTAAAAACAACAACCACCACCACCACCATAGAGCCAGACCTTGTCTCAAACAACAACAAAAAGAATAGCCAATATATTAAGAAATTAAGCCTTAGGCCAGGTGCAATGGCTTACATCTGTAATCCCAGCACTTTGGGAGGCCGAGGCAGGTGGATCACCTGAGGTCAAGAGTTTAAGACCAGCCTGATAAAGTTCCGTCTCTACTAAAAATACAAAAATTAGCTGGGTGTGGTGGTAGGTGCCTGTAATCCCAGCTACTCAGGAGGCTGAGGCATAAGAATCACTTGAACCCGGGAGGCAGAGGTTACAGTGAACCGAGATCTTGCCATTGCACTCCAGCCTGGGCAACAAGAGCAAAACTCCGTCTCAAAAAAAAAAAAAAAGGACTTAATTACTTCCCAAAAATCAAACCCAAATAAGTTAGTTCTTAATATAAACACATTTGGTTGCTTGGCTTTGTAAGATTCAAGTAGGGTAGCACCTAACAATTAAAATGGATTATATTAATTTGTTAAGACATTAATTCTAACATTACATATAAACTTATAATGATTCTCCAAATAAGATAATAGTAACAACATAAATAACTTTTGGCTTCTAAAGTTTCAAATCCAGAAAAAAAAATTTGTATTCAGGGCATCCAAAACAGTTAATATCCTAAAAGTCAAGAGGCTACAAAAGGTTTTAATGCATATAAAGTTTATTATTATAAATGTCAGCGACTAGTCAATCACAAAGCTTAAGACTTCAGGAAAACACTGATAATTTTTAATTTATTGCCATAGATTATGTCATTTTCAATGTTCATATAAAAATCTACTTTATTTCTGAAGAGCTCGGTAAAAAGAAAAAGCACTAACACTGCATTTGTATACTATAGAAAGGAGAAGTGTATTGTATGTGAGTTATAGCTCAATAAAGCAGTGTGAGAAAGTATGAAAGAAAGAGAACTTAGTGGAGTATATAAAACTCAATCCTGGTTTTGTTAAATAAGATACTAAAACCAATCAATAAATACTGGCATATTTAAACTATTAGATGACATAATGAGGACACAGTAGATACCATTAGCTAAAGAGTTCTACTCTTAAAGGTGGAACTTCCATATAATGGAACTTTATTATACAGTAAATTAAAGAGAAGGAAGGCGGCTTATGTAACAGTAGACTAACCTTCAAGATCTTTTTAGTGAAAAGGGATCTAGAGTATACATGTTCTTTTGCATTAAAAAGAGAAGGAATTTGTGCATACATATCTGTTACATAAGACATATTATATATATACATACAGACGTATGCATGTATATGTTTTTGGTGGCATATGTATAAATTAGCTTTGGAAAGATATACAAGAAACAGCTAACACCAGGGCTATCTGTGGGTTAACAGGATAGCTGGAGCATAGTAAAAGGGAAGATTTCTTAGGTTATCATTTTGTGTGTTTTGAATTTGAGCAATGTGAATATAAACTTACCAAGAGGAAAAATTAAAAGTACTTTACCTTGCACCATTGTTCCTAATGACTTCCACAGTTTCTTCAACAAAGTATCGATCTTTGACATATGCAAAGATATCATCACAAATTTCATGTAAGCGTGAACGATGGGTAAGGCTGGTCAAGTATAAAACTGGAATAATTAGTGGTTCTGGAAAACTCTGAAGATTCTGTCTTGCTTTTTTTTCTGACTCAAGTGCTTCCTGATACGTCAGTCCAGGTCTACCCGTCACAGCACAACTCCACACAAGGCTGTTGCACAGAATGGTTCGTTCAAAAAAGTCACTGATTAAAAAACAAAAACAAAAACAAAAACCCATTACCTATCATTTCACAAATTTTACATTAAAAACTGATAGCATTATCAGGTTATTTTTGTGCCTTTAATGCAAAATTTTATGTAGACTCACAGAACTCAAGGGTTTGGTAACTGGTCAACTTATAACACTAATACAAACATAAGAAAAAGTATATTTAAACTAAATATGTATATTTTGCAATTTAAAGGCACATCAGTCAAAACTAGACTTTGAGTTCCATCTGTTTTTCAGTGAAAAACTGAAAACTTTAAGCAGCTAACAAGAGAAAAGCTAAATAAACTAGTACTTCACATAATGAAAAATCAGTCATTAAAAAGTATAAAGTTCTTAATTAACATTTCCATTAATGTTAATAGAAAAATACCTATTTTCAGTTTTATCTATCCTGTATTTTCTTGAAACTATACGATGAGCTCATTTGTGTTTTAAAAAAAAGAAAAAGAAAATAAAAGGTACCTACAGAAGCACAGATTTCTGGAAAGTCATACAAAACTCAAGGTAACAGGCAGGCGGGATAACTGGGGAACCATTCTATTCAGTGCTCTTCTGTTCTGCTGGAATTCCTTAATATGTGCATTTACTTATTTTCAAAAATTCTATCCACTCTTTTTTTTTTTTTTTGGAGACAGACTCTCACTCTGTCGCCCATGTTGGAGTACAGTGGCTGGATCTCAGCTCACTGCAACTTCCACCTTCCAGGTTCAAGCGATTCTCCTGCCTCAGCCTTCCGAGTAGCCCACCACACTCGGCTATTTTTTTTATTTTTTTATTTTTTATTTATTTTTTGAGACAGAGTTTCGCTCTTGCTGCCCAGGCTGGAGTGCAATGGCGCGATCTCAGCTCACCACAACCTCCGCCTCCCAGGTTCAAGAATTCTCCTGCCTCAGCCTCCCTAGTAGCTGGGATTACAGGCATGTGCCACCACACCCGGCTAATTTTGTATTTTTAGTAGAGACGGGGTTTCTCCATGTTGGGCAGGTCTTGAACTCCCGACCTCAGGTGATCTGCCCACCTCAGCCTCCCAAAGTGCTGGGATTACAGGCATAAGCCACCACGCCCGTCCATGCTCGGCTAATTTTTATATTCTTAATACAGATGGGTTTCCCCATGTTGGCCAGGCTGGTCTCAAACTCTTGACCTTGTGATCCACCCACCTCAGCCTCCCGAAGTGCTGGGATTACAGGTGTAAGCTACCACACCCAGCCCTATCCACTCTCTTTTAAAATGCAAGAGATCTATATTATAGAAAGATTCTTAAGGCATAATGGGTAGGAAAAACACAAATCAATGATTACACAATCCCATGTGCATTAATTGTAATAATCACAAAAATGTATGTATTTATATACATACTGTAAAAAGATATTCCCTATGGAGAAAGGGGGGGTGACTGGGAAGGAAGGAAAAGGAAAACTTTTTTTGTGATTCTAAATAATTCTATATTGTTTGAATTTTTTTTTCTTTTTTGAGAGAGTCTCACTCTGTTGTCCAGACTAGAGGGCAGTGGTACAATCACCTAGGATCAAGCATTCTGTCTTGCCTCAGCCTCCTGAGTAGATGGGACTACAGATGCACACTAGGACAATCACCAATTTTTTTTTGTGGGGGTAGAGATGGGGTCTCACTATGTTGCCCAGGATGGTCTCAACCTCCTGGGCTCAAGCGATCTTCCCACTCTGGCCTCCCAAAGTGTTAGGATTACAGGAATGAGCCACCATGCCCAGCCTGTTTGAATTTTTATTTTTATTTATGTATTTACTTTCCTGAGACAGAATCTCACTCTGTTGCCCAGGCTGGCATGCAGTGGCATGATCTTAGCTCACTGCAACTTCTGCCTTCCTGGTTCCAGCAATTCTTGTGCCTCAGCCTCCCAGGTAGCTGGGACTACAGGTACATACCACTATGCCTGGCTAAATTTGTATTTTTAGTAGAGATGGAGTTTCACCATGTTGGCCAAGCTGGTCTCGAACTCCTGGCCTCAAGCAATTCACCACCTCAGCCTCCCATAGTGCTGGGATTAGAGGCGTGAGCCGCCGCATTCAGCCCTGTTTAAATTTTTTAAATTAGCATTACTCATATATCATTTTGCAATAATTTTTTTTTATTTTTAGGTGGAGTCCCACTCTGTTACCCAGGCTGGAGTGCAGTGGCGCGATCTCAGCTCGCTGCAACCTCCACCTCCCAGGTTCAAGTGATTCTCCTGCTTCAGCCTCCTGAGTAGCTGGGATTACAGGTGTGCGCCACCACACCCAGCTAATTTTTGTATTTTCAGTAGAGACGGGGTTTCACCATGTTGGTCAGGCTGGTCTCAAACTCCTGACCTCGTGATCCACCCACCTCAGCCTCCCAAAGT